CAAGGGCCACAGGGCCTCTCTAACCACCCCTGCAACCGGCCCCCAGGCCCTGGAACAGCCCCTGCAACACCTACACTAACCCCTGTAATTAGGGAACCCTGTGGCCCCCATCATAACCCCTGCAGTAGCCTCCTTCCAAACTATGGCCCCTGTAAAAACCCTTGTAAGGGCCCCACAAGCATCAGGACCCCCTTTAACGCTCCCACAGTCCCAATACAGCCCCTGCACCCTGCAACCGGCCCCCAGGCCCTGGAACAGCCCCTGCAACACCTACACTAACCCCTGTAATTAGGGAACCCTGTGGCCCCCATCATAACCCCTGCAGTAGCCTCCTTCCAAACTATGGCCCCTGTAAAAACCCTTGTAAGGGCCCCACAAGCATCAGGACCCCCTTTAACGCTCCCACAGTCCCAATACAGCCCCTGCAGCAGTCCCACCTGCACTGCTACCCCTATAACAGCCCCTACACTAGCCCCCTATGCAGCCCACTCGCCTATAATTCTCCCTGCATTAACTCTCCCCAAGCTACAACCATCTGCAAGAGGCCCCCAGCACCACAGCACTCACCACCCAGACCAGAGAGGGCATCATCACCACCACATCCCCTGTATACACACTGCTGCCCCATACAATAACACCCCACCAGCCCCTTGTCCAAACACAATAAAGCACTCATTGCACAGTAAATAGTTATTATATTTCCAATAATAAATAAGCTTTTTTTTATATATATAACACTGAACATTGAACAGAGTCACCCCAAGAGACAGTCTATAAAACAAGGCGCCCCCTCCGCCCCAAGCCCATCAGAGCCCCCCAGGGGCAGAGGGGGCACCAGGGCCAAGCAGCAGATGAGGAATGGGGCAGAGCCAGACACAACTGGGCAGTCAAAGGAAAAGGATGAGTCCGTGGATGAGTCCTGCCGGCTCTGGAGGCTCAGGAGCAGCCGCTGAGCAAGGTCCCCTCCACGCGGGGTCCCCAGGTCCCCCATCCCATGGCATCTCGGCAGGGGCTGCCCCCCAGCCCCGGGCCCCAGGACACACGTGCTGGTTGGCTGGGGGTAGCAGTGTGATGGGGCAGGGGGGTTGCTGGCACCCTCCCCGCGGGGCGCCACAGTCCCCACCACCCAGGGGGGCCGGGGCCACCTTGTCCCCATGTTTCCCTCCTCCCTCCACCTCTTCACATGACAGAGCAACTTTTGGCCTTCTCCTTCTTGAAGGCGGAGGAGATGAGCTCAGAGCGGCTGGGCAGGTGCAGGCGGCGCTTGGCGAGGCCGCGCGCGGGGCTCTTGGGGGCCGGGGGGCCACTGCGGCCCAGGCAGAGGCCGGACGCGCTGCGGAAGATGCTGTGAACGCTCTTCTCCGACGTGAAGGCCGAGCACTCCAGGTAGCTCTCGGCTCCCAGCTGCTTGGCCGCTGCGCAGCCCTGTGACCCCAAATCGGCGTGAGACCGGGATGGGGTGGGTGTCCACCCAGTCCCGCAGCCCAGGGTGGGGGTCCCAGCCCGCACCCCCCTGCCAGCACCTGCTCATAGGAGATGGGCGCCTGCTTCTGGTGTGAGAGCTCCATGAGGGTGCTCAGGTCCGTGCGCAGGTCCGTCTTGCAGCCGACAAGCAGCACTCGCGTGTTGGGGCAGTAGTCCAGGATCTCTGTCTTCCACTGTGCGCATGAGCCCGTGCTCAGGCGGGTGCGTGGCAGTGGGGGGTTCCCAACACCCTTCGGCTCCCAGAGGAGACTTTTCCCGCTGGGAACAGGGACCAGGACATCCCTCACCTTCTTGGAGGCGCTGTCCAGGGTCTCGGGGCGGCTGATGTCGAAGCAAAGCAGCACCGCATCCGAGTCGCTGTAGCACAAGGGCCGCACATTGTCATAGTAGGGAGAGCCTGGTGGGACAAGGAGGGTCACCTTGCTGCCCCCCAGCAGCATGAGGGGGGTGTCCAGGGACAGTGGGCAGCCCCAGAGCACCCCCAAATACTAAGTGCCCCCTCAGCGTGCCCATTGCTGCCACTGCCATGGCAGGAGCTGCGGCCCCGGGCGTTTATGTAA